GAACAGACAATGTTCTCTAATGGGAAAGGCACACTAGAAACAACTTTCCAGAAATAACATTGCCAGCAAAGATATATTAAGGGAAAATGAACGGTAAGCAATAACCAGCCAATGCTTGGCAATACTCATCCCCACTAAAACGTTTATTTTCACTCCATGGGTTTCTTTCCCTTTAACTACCCCAGTGACAAATAAATTATGAACATTACAGCTAATTTATTACTCAGAACGGCTGAGGATGGAGAGGGAAAAAAAAAAGGCAGCAGTATTTTCAAGCTGATCCTTATTCTAGAAAAACAAATACTTTATTAAAAACAATAATAAGTTACAACGGAAAAACTACTTTTGTAGTTAAGTCTGCCTACGTCTAAGCCATTCAGACTCTGCTGCTGCCAACCAACCAACCAAATGCTTTATCAATAGCTCCAGAAACAGAATCAAGCTCTTAATCTCTGCCTCAGTTTCCCCACCTGTGACACTTCTCCCACCCCATCCATTCAGACTGCAAATACACAGAGACAAGTTCTACTGTGCAGCACCAAGGACAACAGAAAGCTCTGAAGCACTGCAGTATTCCCAAAACTGACTTTAATGACATCCTCCATGCAGATCTTGCCAGATTTCAAGGAGGGTTTGATCAAGTCTGTACCACAGAACACATTATTGTATTTGTTATATTTAACATGGGAGAGGAACGGGTTGCACATCAAAACAACTCAAAAAATCCAAGAGCCAAATTTTGCTGTTAACCCCTCGGTTCCCAGCTGTCCATCACACAGAGCCCTTACTTCTGTTTGTTCCACCAGGAACCCTTTGGTCATTAACTTCTCTATTTATCTTTGATACTTATCTTTTTCCTGAAGATGGAATTTCAAGATTTTCACTGATATTTCAAACCTTAGCAGCAATAAACCCACACAGAAGGAGCTCATCTCAGAGACCACATACACACACACTCTCACCTGGAGTCACACAGCACTAATTTTACTGCAGACACTTAAGAGAGTTTTTGCAGGCTGCAGTCAAACACTGCTGCATGGGCAAAGCTCCTCCTAGGAAGTTAAGCATGGCTCAAAAGTTTTCATTCAGCAAAACAAGAAACAATTTGGCATTCATTCCCACGCAAACACCAATGCACCCTCCTTGGGAGGGGCCAATTATTTTCCTTTCCATCCCATGCTCAGGCCAGTCATCCCCTATCACTTGATAAAACACATGAATAGCTGCATTCAAAGCTGTAGCAAACAGAGACAGCTCAGTAAAGCTCTGTAAAAACAGCTCCCCAGTGCACACCACAGAACTGGTTCCCAACGCGCTTCCCATCTGCATGCCCTTTATCTAAAGAAGCCCATGACTTTGGCAGATGTTGGATGCTTGCATCTAGGTCAGTTTGAACCAGAGCGAGTCGAGGCTAAAGGCCAGGGAGAGAAATTAAACTGCTCTCCTGCTCCACAAACTGTGGCTGTCAAAGAGAGAGCTCCTTGCCTTCTGCTCAAGCAATGATTTCACCACTGGCTAGGCACAAGATCTGACTGGCAAGGTGATGAAATGCCTCAGCGACGAAACGTCAGGAGCACTTGGAACGTTATTACCAGTAAAAATATTCCAAAATATAGAGCATGTAGGAATTCACAGGGAGGGAGGTAGACAGGCAGGAAAGTGCTGCCAAGGTATGTGAATCAGCCTTATCGAAATCCTCATCGCTGCACGGCTGGCATGACTGATCACACTGCTGCATCCACCCGAAAGGCACAAGGCTCCAGCTGGAGAACAGAGGCTCCAGCCCTTCCCTCCTGGTGCCATCTGCACCAGTCACCCTCAGCTCTTTAATCCACTGCCCAGTGCTGCAGGAGAGCAACTGCAGGTGGAAATCAGCTGGGCTTCTAAAAAGTTGCTGCAAAAATCCTGAGTAACTTCTGCAGCAGGAATGCCTGCAGACTACAAGCAGCATTTTTCCCACTGCTGCTGCAGTTGCTGGGAAATTCAAGTTTCCAAAAGCACGCAGGAGTAATTAGATGAAGCCAAATAAATGTGTACACAAAACCTTACACGAATATGCAAATAATAGGGTGTATTCAGCAGCCCCAGAAATTAAAGCAGCAGCACAGGCTTGTATTTGCATAAACTATGCAGGATATGGCACCAAGTCATTTTGGAACATGTGCATTTTGCAAACAGCGAGCATAATAATAGACAAATATTTTTGAGCGTGACATTGATCAAATACTCCCTAAAACTTCACAAGAAGAACCTCAGAGACACTGCACTATTTAAACACAGACATCTACTGCTGGCATCCTGGGGTATTTTCACTGCTGAGTTCTGTGGGAAAAGAATTGGACTTTATATAGATTTTTATCAGCATTTATTATTTATAAAGCCCTGTTGGCAAGCAGAATGTTTTATGAACAAATAAAAGTGAATGATCCTTGCTTAAAAACCACATAATGAATGAATGTATACTTTGTACATATATGCAAGTGGTTGCTGCTAGTCTATTGCACAGTGAACGTGGAAAAGGGGAGGTTTTTTACATCTCCAAAAAGAAATAACAATAGCCACTTCTAAATGTACTGACATGAAAGCCAAGCCCAATCCAAACTGCGCTCTTCAATCACTCCTGAAAAGCCCAGCCCCTGGCTTGTTTTCTTAACAAGATGAGTTTCTGCCCTCATGGTCTTGCTGTGCCGAACAAGACAAAATCTGAGGAAACCAACTTGTCGCCGTATAAGGCAAAAAAAGGTTTCTCTTCCTGAGTTACAAATAACTAGGGAAAGTCACACATGTGGCCAAGGAAAGCAGAACTACAATACAGAACTCCCTCACTGCTGACAGGCTAAAATTAGTAGTTTATTCAACTGCCCAGAACTACACACTGTGCCTCTCCTATGCAGCATCTCCCTATTTGTCTTGTCCTTCTGTTTGCTCTCTGCTTGGTCTCGCCTGCTAATTTGTCCCTCGGGGAGCAGCCCAGCAGCCACCACCGAGCCCCACTCATCCCAGGAGCCCGAGCAAATGAATATCCACTTGCAGGTACACCTGGGCAACTCTGCACTGCCTCCACTGATTCCATCCCATGGCAGCACCTGAGAACAGCACCTGGCCCCACGGGACACTCCGTCTGCAAAAACGATTAAGTCCTCTGTGCTTTCCAGCAAGCATCTTTGCTGCTCCTGCTCTCGCTCCCCTGCAGCACCTGTAAGCACAATGCTGGGCAGATTTGCTTTAAGCACAGATTCACCCTGCAGTGACAATTCCACATTTGCATCTGTTCATTGTATGAAGGGCTTTGTGGTATTTGCAATGACGGCAGATAAATTATACAGGGAACAGAGGAACACTTGCCCAGTGCAGCTGGGCCACTGCTTATGCATGCTAGGGATTGTTTTGAGTTTAGTTTGCTTTTTTTTTCCTTTCCCTCCACTGCCCAGTTGTCTGCTACTGCTTGTGGATCACGCTGCCATGCTGCTCAGGACAGAGACCTGGAGAGAATCAGAGAGCAGAGACAGCAGCACCTCAGCTGGGTTCACCCCTCGGAGGAGGGAGGCTCTGGGAATCGCAGCGCTCATTTCATTTCCCCGACCATGGGGCTGGGGTGTGTGAAACACACCATACAAAGCACGCCCCAGGAGTTGGGGAAAACAGGAAAAGAAAGGCGAAACTGGCGAGGAGTGAGCAATGCAAAGGAGTTTGAGGAAAATGCCACGCTAGGGACTAATGCTGCTGATCCTACGCTCCGACACCCCAGCGCAGCGTGCTGATATATACAGCCCCCTGGCAGAGCCACACATTCCTGGCACACCGGTGCCCACCGGGTGACATCACCCGTGGGCTCTTCCTCGGCTATTACTTTGAGGAAGGATTATCCTACACTCATTCACACTGACAGCTCATTTTGCAAGAAGCTCATCGGAAACAATATATTTACTTACTAAGGTGTTACTCACATAAAACAGGCATGTTCCTGTCAGGCTCCTACAAATTAAGTTATATCCACATATAGTCACCTAGGGTATAGAACTGCTGAATTTCTCTCATCAGATAGGATGCAGTTTCCTTTGGAATTACAACTATGCTTCAAACTAAACTTATGTTTTATTATATGGAGATGAATTCTAATTTCCATTTCATATTAAGAGGGAATATTAACCATGGTTAGTTTAGTCACATACCTTGAAAAATTATAGATCACGTTCAGTACAAATTTGCATAAGTAGTTTGAGCATGTGAAAGAAGCAATGCTAAATACTGAATACAAGTACCAAATGCAGAGTTCTTACATTTACTGTAGAATATATTATGTGTATGGCCTCAAAAAGCCTCAGAGATTACGAATACATTTCTTTTCCATGGAAACTATAATTCTCAAATCCAGCAAGCTATTTTAAGAAATTTAAATCAACTATACACTTACATCTGCTGGAAGCAGAACATTTCCACAGGCTGTACACTTCAAGGCACAAGCACAGCCGTATGGACACCTTCCCAACTCTTCTACTACACTTCTGCCTCTGACACCACATCTCACTATGCAGATTTAGTGCTAAAGTCTTATTTGGATTGTTCTGTACCCATCACCGAGACTTTCGGGGCTGCTGCGCTTTGCACCGCTGCATCACTTAAGAGGATGAGGAAAAGCGGCAACGCGGGAGGCACGAAATAAATGCACCGCTATCTTTTGCCGGTATTTATTCCGTGTGAAGCGGCAAGGCTGGCGCTGGAGCCGAGCGCCCGGCCAGCCGGAGCCCCGCGCTGGTGCCAGCCCGGCCGCGCTCCGGGCGCTCGGGAGTCCCGCGGAGCGGCCGCACAACTTGGGCGGCAGCGGGCTGGTGACCCCTCGGCACTGCTGAGTCATTTCAGCCGCCGAACGCCGGGCTGCCCTGACCCCCCCGGGCTGGGGGGCTGCCCGCAGAGCCGCCCCGGCGCCGGGGAAACTTCCCCTGCGCTCCGCCGCGCACCGCCGCCCGCGGCGCGGGGGGCTGCGGGCCGGCCGCACTCACCAGGTAGGCTCCCACCGTGCCCTGGGCCAGCATCAGGGCGCACTCGGACACCAGGAAGAGCTGGATGCTGGAGAAGCAGGAGACCTTCCTCCGCCGCCTGCGCTGCCGCGGCGCGCCGGCCCCCGGGAGCTCGCTGCCGCCGCCGCCGCCCGCCGAGCCCCGCTTCCCCGGCATCCTCCCGGGCACCGCCGCTCCGCCGCCGCGGGATGGCGGGCCCCGCGGCTGCTCCGCGCCTTCCTCCTCCTCCGCCTCCTCCTCCTCCTCGTCCTCGGGGTGCCAATCACAGCGGCAACCCGCGGCTGCCTCTCCGCCCGCGGGCTGCTGCCATGGCCAGCTCGCCGCCGCCTCCGCCGCCGCCTCCTCGCTTCTCCCCTCCCCTCGCCCGGCCGCGCTCCCTCTCTCCGCCGGCTCCGCGCAGGCCGAATCCGCGTCCCCGCCGGCGAGGGGCGGGGAATCGCCGCGAGCGGCGGGGCTGGGCGCCGGCAGCGCGGGCTCTGCCCGCAGGTGGAGGGCAGGATGCCCCCTCATCCGCCCGGCCGGTGCGTGCCCCCTGCTCCCTTCGGCTGGAGGGGCCCCTTTGCGAAGGGCAACGGAGGCGCCACGGAAATTAAACGTGAGAAGGAATGAGCGGCTGGAGGTGGCTTGCGTCGCGCTGCCTCTGCCATGTGCGCCAGCCTCGGTGCTTCGTGCCCCTGGCACCTGCCTTCCGTGGTGCCCTTTGTGGTCAGCCCCACCTCGAGTTCTAATTTCAGGAGATGTCTTCTCTTAAAAACCACTAATCTTCACTTCTACTATTACAGATCACCTTCCTTGTCGGCGTAATTGCAAAACCTGATCTGTTTCACTCTACAGATGCACTTTTCTTGTTCATTTCTGGATCCGCACTGGGGGCTGCTGTTCTACTTCCTTGTGTAACACAAGTTATATGAAACTTACGTGGAGTAAACTCCAAGCTATATGGAACTTTAAATCCATGATTCATTTAGTACTGGGATGCCCATGGCCTTTGAGAGGAAGAGTTTTTATGGGAACACAGGTTAAATTCTTCAGAAATACCCCATGATTTGCATCCTAAATTTCATTTTCAAAGGTAGTTGATGCCTTGAAGCTCCTGAACACCTCAGAAGATATCTTTGAAAATGGAACTTAGGACCATTCTAATTTTCAGAGCATAAACCAGTCAGTACCAGGAAGCCAAGAGAACTGATATGTTGAATGAGCCCTTTTTTCTTCCCGTACCCTTTTTGAGTTTCTTCTTCCAAAATACTATCAGCTCTTGTGGGGGGGCTTTTTATTTTGGCCTATTTTTACATGAGTAACCTTATTAAATGCAATGCTGAAAATCTCTGAGCAGCATCTCCACCCAGGCTGATGAATCTTTACTCAGACCAGCTGGTGCACATTGCAGAACTGCAAACCATTGCTGGAGAGACCTGGCACGCTCAGTCACTGCCCTTCGCTCATCCACTGCCAACAGGTCCCTCCCATGCTGAACTTTGTCTTGCCACAGCTTTCCCAGCAGGTCTGTGCCACATCAACAGGAGTCAAGAGTCCCAGTCCACCTCAGGGGCACAGCCTCCAATATTAATCGCCTGAGGCATCGTTATCAAATAATTAGTGAGAACGGTCTGGTGCTTGTAGATGAGTGGTCTTAATTTTAATGAGATACAGATCAGTCCTCCAGACACTGCAAGCCTCACAAGATGCACATTAGAAGCTACCTGAGGCCTCAATTGCCAAGGTTTTTTGCATGAGCCCATGAGAAACTGGCTCTTCCATACAGATTTCTGCCAGTTCATAAGGTGTTTGTTTCCATCCTGAAAAAACTGGTTCTTCCACCAGAGAAACCCCAAAAAGGCAAGTGTTCTGGAAATACCTTTAGACAACAAAAGTGCTCATCTCCTTCCTAAAATGTTTATTTAGGCACCTCTTCTGTAAAAATCCTGAAGTTGGGAAGCTAGCAAGGTCTCTATCTCTAGATGGGTAAATTCACAGACTAATTCAATTAGCGTGGCTAGACAGATGCTTTGCTCCAGGTGGATGCTGCAGTGCGTGATAAACAGGATGGACAAGCTCACAGACTTTTAAATAGGTGAAACCAGAGTGGTGTCTCTTAAAATACTTGAACATATAGAGTTATGCTAGGGGAAGTCTTAAGGTTTCCTGGAAAAAAATCCCACCCAACAGAACCAATACAGATTTTTGGGGCATGCTGGTCTTTCCAGTCATCTTTTGCCTGCTCTAGGTTAGATGCTAAAGACAGCAAAGCTCTGAAAACTCATCTAACTCACTGAGTATATATCTGGAGGCAGAAGTAAACTTCTGCACGTGCTACTGCAGTTAACAATATTCAAGTTGATGCTTTAAAGCTCTTCAGAATATATATATATAATATATGCAAATGACATCATGTTCTCGATCACATCTTAGACATCCTGTTGGAAGAATTTGTTCAGGCTGATACACTTGTTTTTCACAAGAAAAACAGCTGCTAGAAAAATTTTACTCTAATACTAATTATCTGAAACATCTGGTTCCTTGGTTTATTGCAGCAGAATACAATTTTCAGTTCCATTTCTGTCCAGAAGAGACAGAATGCCTGGATTTTTTTTCTCTTATTTATGTTGTATGCTCATACTTATTTCCTCTAGAAAAATTCCTCCTGGGTTGCTCTGCTGAAAGAAGGAGTGAGGGTCTTGCATCTCCACTTGAGGTACATTGGTAGTCCTGAGTTTGCTTTTTGCCACCTCTAAACAGACCACATTCCTGAGAGATCTCAGTAGAATGCTTCAGGGATGGACAAGTGACCTGGTTGGATTTAATAGTTAATTATTGCTATACCCAAACACCTTTTCTGGCCTAAATTGACTCAGCTTTAACTACTAATGTGTGGAATACTAATGTTCTTGGATTATCATTAGCCTAGAATAAAAAATGACTCTACAGCTAGAACAGTCCCTTCTCCTCAGGGCTCAGCAGTTTTGCCAACAGAGTTCTCAGCTCTTTCCACATCCAAAGCAAGCATTTTCCCCACAGTAATTTCTACTAAAGCATCTTGCAGATACCTTGTCAGGTTTTCGTAAACACTCCAACATTCATTGCTGGCAGGCAGCATGCTGCCCTAGATAAGGGTGGGCACTTCAATCTTAAACCAGCCAGCTCTCCTGAGACCATCTCATTGCACCTTGTCTCTGGACATCTCCTTGCTCCTGGGCTTGTGTCAACATTCACCTCTGGGTAACCTTAGCAGGCAGAGCTTTCTTAGTCGATCACCATGCTGAAACAATTTCTGCTTTAGTTCACTTTTCCACCCTCCTGTTCTTGGTTAAAATTACTCCAAATTAGCTGGGTAATCATGTGTCTCGATACTCAGCAGGCATAACTTTTTTGATCCATATGCAGAATCATTGCCTGTGGTATATGGGGTGTGTGGCACTGAAGAACTGAGAGAGAGCTGTGCAGGGTGAGGACCTTACTGGAGTACTTGACTGGTATCTTACACCTCAAGGGGCAAAAGTGCAAACTGAAAATCTAAGCTTGACCATCAGCAGTGTGGGTAACAGGAGAAGGAACAGGAGAGGATGATTTCCCTTCAGCAGAGCTGGTGGAAAGCACTCCTGTGAAATGTGCCAAAGCAAGCAGCTGAGCTGTATCATTAGGCATCTCTACAATTGCCATTGGAATCGTATTCCCAAACCTTCCAGACATATTTTACAGTCCAGGGAGCTAATGTGTGCCTCACCCAGCACAGCCCCTCTGGAGCACCGTACCTATTCCTGCTGAGGATGAAGCAGGGAAAACCAAGATGAGGTGCTAAGAGAAAACGATGGTCTTACAGAAGACCTGTGATATATATATATATAAAACCAACAAAAAAACAAACAAACAAAAAACCCCAAAAGAAACAAATAAACAGAAAAAAAAAACAAAAAAACCCCAAACAACCAAAGCAGTCCTGCAACCATAACTGTTGATTTCTGCCACCAGAACCTCTCTGGATGTTCTCTGCAGGGTGACTGCATCTCATTGCTCTCCTTTGCAGCGCTGCAGGTCAGGAGCAGCTGTTGCAGCCTGACACCCACCCAAGTGCCTGCATCCTCACCCCTCCCCATGGCTATGCTTTCAGACAGGTGTTTGTGCAGCGCTGGGGCTGCTCTCCTGCCCCGTGGCCCTGGGTGCCAGCCCGGCTGTAAATCGCTGCTAATCTGAGATAATTGCAAGGGTGTCTGAGGAACATCATCCCGAGAGCCGCCCTCGGGGCTTGCTTGCCTCAGTCTGCCGGGTTCTGACACTGGCTCTGGCAGAGAAGATGCTCTCACCTGGCTGGGAGGATGTCACACCCCTGCATTAGGTACAGGAAAATAATGTCCCTGAGAGGTTTGCATTCTGCTCCGTTCAAAATCTCACCAGTGAGGTTAAAAATCAGGCGTAGCTGTCTCAGATACCAGTCTCCGACTACACCCATCTGGGTTTCTTTCCAGGACACTGTATCTATGTTTGGGCCAGTTTTCATTTGCTTTAAGCCATTTGGATGAAAGCAGAGCTCGTGTGCTGCCAAAACAGATTTACATGTAATGTAAATCATATCCCCTTGGCACCAGATCTGCACCCCTGACGGTCCTGCCTGGTGCATTTGTCTGAGGGAAGAATTACATATTAAGACAATTCAGAATAACTTCAGATATGTTCAAAGTACAAGGAAGAATATGTAAATAAACATGAGATCCCAGGGCTTTGGCCAAGGGGCTTTTCCTTGGGATGGCTTTGAAATTATATTTTGTGATTCTCCAGTGCAAAACCCTGTGGACCAGCTGGCACAGAAGGGAGGAGACAGGAAGGGATTTTAATCACCTACCGGTGTAGAATGGGGGTGTAAGTGTGCCCAGCAGCCCAGGGTGTATGGCAGTAAGGAGAACTGAGACTGGGGCAGCTTGTGGATGTATCAGCAGCTGTCATTTCCAAGATACCATGACACTAACAGTTTTAAAGCAATTTCTTTCTATAAACACTTCTGGCTTTACTGCCTTGCTATTTTGAGTCCTGCTGGAGACTTGGACTCATTAAAAAGGCATTTCCTTCGGACAAGCAGATTAGATAGCTGTTCCTTCCCCCACACGATGAAAGGATGGAGAACACCTCACTGAAGCTAAAAAATGCAAAAAATTAGGACATAT